GCCTTGTTTCTGCCCCTTTTGTGACATCATTACACCACCACTAGAGTTTTCCCATGGATGGCCATGGGAAGAGTCCATGTCACTAGGCAGCACCATAAGCACTCTCTCTGCAGTCTAGACGTGAGAAGACTCAAGACACAGTGGGTTGATTTACTTAAACTGGACAGTACAGGATCTGGTTCAGCTCTGCTGAGAAAACCGGTCAGTTTCCAGGTTTTTGTGTCAAAGCTTAATTGAACAAGCTGAAGTTAAAATCTGATTGACTAGGATGCACAGGTGCACCAGATTTTTCACTCTCCAGTTTTAGTAAATCAACCCCAGTGTATCAAGTGACCAAAAATTCAAGTAAGTAATTGAGCCATTTAGATTAGTTGTTTTTTTAACCACCTCCCACCCACCATATAGTAATATGATGGACGCAAGGCGGTTCTAGCATTCTGGGAGGATGTCATATGGCGTCCTCCCATTCTAACCGCGCATGCGCGGCTCCCAGAGCGCGCAGCACGGCGATTGGCGGTGCGCTGTGTCCCTCGGACACAGTGGATCACCGATCCACGGAAAGAACTGAAGATGTCAGCTCGGTCATGTGATTAACTGTGTTCAATCACAGCTGATCACATGTAAACAGGGAAATGCCGGTAATCGGCATTTCTCTCCTCACGAGCTGTCACGCTGACAGCTCGTGAGGAGAGGAGAGACGGTAATCAACATTCCTCGGAGGGGACATGTACACAGATCATCAGAGCACTGATGATCAGTGTGCCCTGATGATCTGTGTAGCCCCAGCAGCACCACCTGTCAGTGTCCATCAGTGCCAGCTCTCAGTGCTCATCCATGCCACCTGCCAGTGCCCATCAGTGCCACATATCAGTGCCCATCTGAGCTGCCTTTCAGTGTCACCCATCATTGCCATTCAGTGCCACCTATCAATGTCAGTCAGTGCCACCTATCAGTGCTGCTAATCAGTGCCGCCTATCAATGCCAGTCAGTGCCACCTATCAATGCCAGCCAGTGCCACCTATTAGTGCTGCTAATCAGTGCCACCTATCAGTGTGCATCAGTGCCACCTATCAGTGCCCGTCAGTTCTACCTATCAGTGCCATATATCAGTGCTGCCTTTCAGTGCCCATCAGTGATGCCTGTCAATGCCCATCAGTGCCACCTACCAGTGCCTCCTCATCAGTGCCCATCAGTGCCACCTATCAGTGTCCATCAGTTCAGCCTATCAGTGCCCATCACTGCAGCCTCATTAGCGCACATCAGTGAAGGAGAAAAATCACTTTACAAAATTTTATAACAAAAACTAAGAAAAAACATTTTTTTTTTCAAAATTTTCAGTGGTTTTTGGTTTGTTTAAGAAAAAATAAAAAACCCAGAGGTGATTAAATACCACCAAAATAAAGCTCTATCTGTCACAAAAAAATGATAAGGGTACAGTGTTGCATGACCACGCAATTGTCATTCAAAGTGCAACAGCGCTGAAAGCTGAAAATTGGCCTGGGCAGGAAGGGGGTATAAGTGCTCTGTAGACTAGTAGTTAAAGAACTAGAAGTACTAGAGAGGGGTAGATGTATTACTTACTGGAACATTGTGATATTGCACCTCACCTCTAAAATGCTGTGGATGTACTATATTTCCCTGGTTAGTCTTCAGTTTGCAAATAAACTACAGAAGGTATGGAGGGACTGTTTTAATTACATGGAACCTTAGTCAGGAATGGCAACGAATCTGAAAAAAAGTTGTATTGAAATTAACAAATGCATTTGTTTAATTTCGATGACGTCACATGATGCGATAGTTGTTTGGGCCCATAGGGAAATTAATTAAATTTTCAAATTCCTTCATTAATTCAGATTTGGATACCAAACTCTGAATTTTGTTCCATTCCTTATTATTATTATTTTACAGGATTTATATAGCGCCAACGGTTTGCTCAGTGCTTTACATTATAGTGGGAGACAGTACAGTAACAATACAGTTCAATAAAGAGGGATTTCAGGGCCCTGCTCCTTGGAGGGAGCTAATCTAGGAGGGAGGGGTGAGTGGTACAATAGGTAATAACTGTGGGGGATGGAGTGGTTGGAAGCGTAGAGGATTCCAGTATTAGCAGAGGGCGGGATAGGCTTCCCTGAAGAGATAGGTTTGCAGTGATCGCCTAAAGGTAAGTAGAGTAGGTGATAGTCTGATAGATTGGGGTAGGGAGTTCCAGAGGATGGGTGGCACCCTGGAGAAGTCTTGGAGACGAGCATGGGAGGAGAAGATAAGGGAGCTTGTGAGTAGGAGGTCTTGTGAGGAGCGGAGAGTACGGTTTGGGTGATATTTAGAGATAAGATCGGTTATGTAAATTGGGGCAGTGTTGTGGATGGTTTTATATGTCATTGTTAGTGTTTTGAATTTTATCCGTTGGGCAACTGGGAGCCAGTGGAGAGATTGTCAGAGAGGGGTGGCAGATACAGAATGGTTAGTGAGGTGGATGAGTCTGGCAGCAGTGTTCATGATAGACTGGAGGGGGGATAGCCTGCGATGAGGTAGGCCAATGAGGAGGGAGTTACAGTAGTCGAGGCGAGATATGACAAGGGAGTGGAGAAGTTGCTTAGTGATTTCCGAGGTTAGGAACGGTTGTATCTTGGAGATGTTGCGGAGGTGAAGTCTACATGATTGTGTCAGCGATTGGATCTGGGGCTGGAAGGACAGATGGGAGTCTAGGATTACACTTAGTAACCTGGCATGAGGGGAGGGACTGAGGATGGTGTTATCGATATTTATGATGAAGTCAGTGGGGGGGGCGCGGGCAGGGGGAATATTAGGAGCTCAGTTTTGGAAAGGTTGAGTTTGAGGAAGTGGAGTGACATCCATTCCGATATGTCACTTAGTAGGCTAGCGATGCGGGTGAAGACTGAAGGGGTGAAGTGAGGGGTAGACAGATAGATTTGCGTGTCATCAGCATAGAGATGGTAATTGAAGCCCTGGGAGTTTTATCAAGTGACCAAGGGAGGAGGTGTAGATGGAGAAGAGAAGGGGTCCAAGGACAGAACATTGAGGGACCCCTACAGAGAGAGGGAGTGAGGAGGAGGTGGCAGCGTTGTAGGTAACACCTTAATTCGGATGCACATGACACCAGTTGATAATGTCAAATTAGCTCATGCCATTTCTCTTGGTGGGTTGGGCTAGCTTCTGCAAATATAAAATCCTTCCTTCAGTCCGATTCGATAGTATATTGAATATATAGCAATCTTCCAGAAAAACTGTAACTTTTTTGAAAGTACTCGGAACAACGAATATACAAAACAAATACCAAAGTAACAAAACAAATCACTAAAATGTATCAGTTCAACATAATGAATATGACGAAACAAAGTTCTTCGATGTACTAATGCATCCTAAACGTTACAAAAATTTCTGATGTGCACATCTAATGAGCAAGGCAACTGGAACTCTCTTTGTTAATAAAAGCTAAATCTGCATTTTTTTGTTGGGCAATCCCAAAAATAGGATTTGTGAATGCTAAATTAAGTGTGAAATTGCACTTATCGTACATCTTCTGTGGACCACTGACTCAATAAAGATATAATTCATCATGTGACTGTTTCAACCACAAGTTAAAGTGTTACTAAACCCAGGACCCTGCATTCACTAAATCTGGTCTCCCACAGTACACAGAACATGGAAATGCAATTATTTTAGTAACTATAAACTGCTAAATACCTTTTGTCATCAGCAGTATATAGCAATTTTGTGACTTCTATCAGTGTCCAGCTGAGCGCTGGTTAAAGCTTGTAGGAGGAGTTTTCATTCTCCTCTCACTGTCCTATGAGGCTGCATAACCTCTGACCCTCTGCCTAGACAGTGCTGACTGGCCCTGTGCCATTCACATGCAAACTCTCTAGCAATACACACGCATTGCCTAGCATGTGCAGAGTGACTCCAAGAGCTCTGTGATATCAGCAGATGGTTTGGGGCCAGCAGAAGAAAAAAAAGTTTAGAGGAGACAGGATCATACAGCCTTTTCACACAATGCAAAGGATTTACCTCTTAGGTTCCAAAGAAAGTGTAACAATCATGCTTACTGATTTTACTGTTGTGAGTTTAGTAACACTATAAAGAGAAACAGCCCTATTCAATAAAAGTCTGCAAGCAAAAATTAAAAAATTCTAGTTTAACAGCAATGGTATTCAATGAGGGTTGACAAAGTCCATTCTAAATACCAACACAGGGAGTGTGTTTCCTGTGACAAGGTAGATTTTCTTAGCACTGCCTGCCAGATGTTCGACTGTAAGTAGGGACACTGTATATTGAGCATTGTTATTGTATAGTAAAAGCAGTTTCACACTGGTGCACTGTGGTTTGGGTGCAGCATGATTTATGCTCATTTTACATGGCTTTAGATGCGCTCCCATTGACTTTTATTAGACCACACTTTTTCATGAAATCGCATCAAAGTCCTGCATGCTGCATCTTTGATGTGCTTTCAGAAAACGCACAGTCTAAGGGCTCGTTCACACTTGACTGTTTTTCCAACTCTTGCCAAATGCCCCTATAGCATTTGACAAGCATTGGTCCGGCGTTTGCAGAGCATTTTTAACGCTCCACAAACGCCGCATGCGCGGTTTAGCGGAGGTTGCTAGGCATTTGTCAAGCATTACAAACGCCCCACAAACGCCTATAATGAAGTTTGAATGGTGTTAACGCTCCACAAATGCCCCGCAACCACGTTGCAACTGCACTGCAAACGCCGGCCGGGCGTTTGCGGAGCAGCACCATAGACTTGAATAGGAGGCTTCAATTCCTCCTGACTCGACCAGAGGCATCCGTTTTGCCGCGACGCAATGCGACGCTAATGCTCCCGTTTGAACAGCACCATGTGCTGCAATGTGCAGAATTCTCCCAGGCGTTTGGGAAACGGTAAAAACGCTTCCCAAACGCCTGTCTGCCGCTTGCTAACAAGGCTAGTGTGAACGTAGCCTAATAGAGGTCAATGTCAGATGTATAAAATCAAGCAACTAGGCATGCAGACTGCTTCTACAAACATTTGGGAAAGAATGGGTCGCTCTCAGGAGCTCAGTGGATTCAAGCGTGGTACCGTGATAGGTTGTCACCTGTGCAATAAGTCCATCCATGAAATTTCCTTGTTACTAAATATTCCATGGTCAACTGTTAGTGGTATTATAGCAAAGTGAAAGCAACTGGGAACAACAGCAACTCGTACAATGACAGAGCGGGGTCAGCACATGCTGAAGTGCACAGTGTGCAGAAGTCGCACTCCAAACTTCATGTGGCCTTCAGATTAGCACAGCAACAGTATGTAGAGAGCTTCATGGAATGGGTTTCCATGGCCGAGCAACTGCATCCAAGCCTTACATCACCAAGTGCAATGTAAAGCAAATGGAGATGTCACATACCTGATGGGAGACTGAAATGACGAGGTCGGCCTCACTTGTTTCACTAGTCCTGACCCCGCTGGAGTAGGAACAGAGGGAGTCTAGGACCCAGGGGAACAAGAGTGCCAGTAGTTGTTTGCAGCTCTTGCTGATGAAAGACCTTGGAAGGCTGATGATCCTCTGATTTTGGCACAGTAGTAGTAGGCAGGGCAGGTTTTGCAGATTGCCAGGCGTGCACCAGAGCAAGGCAGGTAGTGAGGACAAGAGACAAGAGCAATGTCATGGAATAGCCAGGGTCATCAACAGTCGGGCAGCACGGTACAGAATCAGAAGGAAAAGCCAAGGTCAGGAGCAGAGCCGAAGTCAGGAACCAGTATCAGGAGAGCAATCAGAGTCAGGTGAGGAACAAGCCTGGTCAGCAACAAAGGAATCATACAGGAACAAGCAGGAAACAGGGGAGCTGAAGACCAGTCAGCACTGAACATGAGCAGAGACATTCCTTAAATAGACCGTCTGGTGCCAATCTTCGCCATGCGTGTGCACGTGCGTGATCGCGCATTTCCGGTCACGATTCATCTTGTCGGAAATCCCTTACAGGAGATGTGTTCTCTGGAGTGACCAATCACACTTCCCTGTCTGGAAATTCGATGGACATGTCTGTGTTTGGCGGTTGTCAGGAGAACGGTACTTGCCTGACTGCATTGTGCCAAGTTTAGTGGAGGGGGGATTATGGTGTGGGGTTGTTTGTCAGGGGTTTGGGCTTAGCCCCTAAGTTCCAGTGAAGGGAGCTCTTAAGGAGTCAGCATACCAAGACATTTTGGACAATTTCATGCTCTCAGTTTGAGGATGGCCCCTTCCTGTTCCAACATGACTGAGTACCAGGGCACAAAGCAAGGTCCATCAAGACATGGATGAGTGAGTTTTGGGTGGAGGAACTTTACTGGCCTGCACAGAGTCCTGACCTCAACCCAATAGAACATCTTTGGGATGAACTAGAGCGGAGACTGCAAACCAGGCCTTCTCGTCTGACATCAGTGCCTGACCTCACAAATGCGCTTCTGGAAGAATGGTGAAACATTCCCATAGACACACTCCTAAACCTTATGGACAGACTTCCCAGAAGAGTTGAATCTGTTATAGCTGAAAAGGGTGGGCTAACTCAATATTGAACCCTATGGACTAAGACTGGGATGCCATTAAAGTTCATGTAAAGGCAAGCTTCCCAATACTTTTGGCAATATAGCGTATCTTGATTCTACCAGAAATCCAGTAATGTTTCTTTGTGCTGTGGACTCTGAAGTGTTATCTCAAGCAGTGTTATCAGCCTTGCCAAGTTCACCCCTGGGAACTACAGAACTAAAGTACCCCCCCCCCCTCTTGCTATAGATCCTTCAAAGATACAGTACAGTTGGTTAGTACCCCAGGACTGGAATAGTGTTACTGGCAGGATCACCAGGCTTCAGGATAAAATACTTAAGAAACAATACTAATGCAGTCACTACATAGAAGGACTGATAAACTGAATTTTTTTGATCTTGAGTTTAGATACACATTAATACATACAGTATCTGGTTATATGTTGATTTTTACATTTATCTTAAAATTGTGTCATGTAGATGAACCTCTGGTTTAATTAGAAAAAAAAAGCAATGTTCTCTACTCCACAGGCAAGATTGTATCATATCTGGAAGGATAAAACTTGAAAAAGAATCAGACATTGGAAGAGAATACAGTGTTCTCAGGAACTTTTCATCAAGATGTTGGAGCTGAGTGAAATGTTAACTCACACCAATAAAATGGAAGAAGCAAGTGAAAAAAACCCTGAAAGGTCTCTGTGATGCTGAACGAATTTACAGCCCAAGAAACAATAAAATAATTTTAATTTCCATTTCCGTATGGCATCATTTTGTAAACAGATGCCTTCCATTCCTCTGTGCCTATTTAATATCTGAAAATGAAGATAAAAATGTATGAAATGCCATGCTCACAGACCTTTGGGATTTACTTTAAAAGAATTCACAGCAGTTACTATAGTTTCTTGAGTGTGCTAAAAAGAAAACGGGCAAAATTATCATTTTTAAGCAATAAAAGCCAACATTTAAACGGGAACTATTGTACATTGTGAGAGTGGAGCTGAGCAAACTGACTTTAAGGGGGTTTTAATGGATAATTATTTTTGTTTTTTAATAAATATATAAATATAAATAAACACCCTCCTGTGCATCAAACCCAATGCGTAAATAAATAGATCTGTGAAATAAATAAAGTCAATATTTAATAAGAAAAGTGGCTGAGCTACTAAATCCAAATGATATGTGAAACATAAAACACAATAAAGTAGCAATAAACACCTGGTCAACCTATAATAAACACCCAGCTGAACTGAGGAATATAGTGTAAAAAAAACCAACAAAAACAGTCATAAATATGTGAAATGTATATCAGAAATAAAACACAATCACAGTACCAGTGGACACCTGGCTGAGTTATAATAAACATCTGACTGAACTGAAGCATAAAGTGTACAAACCAACAAAAACAGTATTAAATAATTGGAAAAACAAATGCTCAGCTGAACAATCACCCCCAATGGAATAAATAAGTGATGAATCAAGTGATTGCTCAACTGGGTTAGATATTCACAAAAAGTACGTAATAGAAAAGATAGGCAGCTGTATTGAATAAATATAAAAAACAGATGACTGGTGAATGAATGGTAAATGATAGCCCTTAATAAAGTGCAAAATGCAATCCAAAAGTGATATAACAGTCAATTTTTTCAACATTTAAAATAATGCACCAGTGATTTAAACAGGTGTGCAAATCTATCATGCTCCTCCACCTTCAGGCACCTTAACAGCTGACCCATAGAAATATAGGTGAACATGTGCTCAATATCAATCCCACTGGATCTTCTGCTTCCACAGGTCTATCCAGGCACACTCAGGAACAATCCTTTAAATCCCCACTCCAATGGATGAGTGCTCAAAAGATAAGGAACAATGAACTCCTCATAGTGTAGTAAGGCTTTTTTACTATAACATATATAAAAAAATGCCACTTGCTTAAATACAAGGTTCACAAAACCTATTATGAGCATTTAAAGCGGAGTTCCACCCAAAAGGGGAAGTTCCACTTTAAAGACTGGTCCCTCACTCCCCATTAAGATTGGCATCTTTGGGGAGTGGGGGGTAGCAGGTACCTGAAATTGACAGGTAGACAGTCCCACTTCTGCTGCGATCGCCTAGGCGATCGGAAGCGGAAGCTGTTCTCCTACCCTCCCTCCCTCCCCATGGCCTTGTGGGACACATGACAGGTCCCATAAGATGAAGGGGCCATTCAGGAAGTGCAGCGCTGCTCGAGCATGCGCAGTGGGCAACCGGCTATGAATCCGCAAACTGTCACAGCCGGGTGCCCACACTGAAGATGCTGGCACCTGGAATACAGGACGGTCGGTGAAACGGGCTACGGCGGGGGCACCACGGGATCGTGGGACAGGTAAGTGTACAGTTTTTGTAGCTGCTGACTTTTATTTTTTTACAGAGTGAGTGGAACTCCGCTTTAAGAGAAAAGCAAGGTGACCACAGATGGCAGCTTCCACATGCACCAGAAAAGACATCCTACACATTACGTCATGAGTCACATGACTTCTTCAGGGATCATATATGGGTTATGTATGCATGGGTTGTCAGATACTTGCATACAGACTTTTGCACAATTATTTCCAGTATATGAATTTTTTTTTTAGTTATTTGCTGCATTGCACTCAGCACGTTATGTGTTATATAGATGTACTCTTAGAGCTATTATTTAGGTACAAAGTAGTTAGATTGCACTTTACTGATTTTTGCACCCTGTTCCAAATTATTATGCAAATTCTATTTAAGTGTCACAAAGATTAAATATTTTGTTTTTCAGTTTAACTCATGGATGGCATTGTGTGTCAGGGCTCTTTTGATCACTGAAAACAATCTCGGACACCTGTGATAATTAGATTGGCCGGTGAGCCCAGTTTAAGGAAAAACTACTAAAGGAGGTGAAAGGAATGATTTTCTTTTCCCCTCAGAGACCGCTGGTCTGTGGAGAGATTCCTGGTTTATCAGCAGAATCTGGGAACACCCCTTGAACACGGGAATAACGGCAGTTTATGTTCAGAGATGTTCAAAGTTTATTAGACATTAATAAGATTATATAGACTACAGATAATAATAAGGGAGGGGGGAGCGAGTTTCAAAACTGTAACTTGTAACTTTCCATCATGAGCTAACTACATGAAACATAACATATACATTTCTTGGTACAAATTGTTTTGGCTAACATTCTGGAAAACAGCCAGACAAGGTCATGTTAGCTTCTGTTGATACATCCTTGAACAACCAAAAACAGTTTCATTAAACTTCTAATATATCTGCAAAAAGCTAACTTAATACTTAAAATGGCATACATAATACAAAATGGAAGTTATCTAGATCCTTTCAGGAGGGTGTTCCACATTATTAAGCAGAGCACCATTTTCAAGCAATTTGGGAAAGAAAAAGGATCTCTCTGCTGCCGAAAAGAGTGAAATAGTTCAATGCCTTGGACGAGGTATGAAAACATTAGATACAGTATTTCATGAAAACTTAAGCTTGATCATCGCACTTTTAAGAGATTTGTGGCTGATTCAGAGCACAGACGGGTTCGTGCAGATAAAGGCACATTGAGGAAGATTTCTGCCAGATCCATGCATCGAATCAAAAGAGCAGCTGCTAAAATACCATTACATAGCAGCAAACAGATATTTGAAGCTGCTGGTGCCTCTGGAGTCCCACGGACATCAAGGTGTAGAGTCCTCCAGAGTCTTGCAACTGTGCATAGACCTTCTATTCGGCCACCACTAACCAATGCTCACAAGCAGAAAAGGCTGCATTGGGCAGAAAAATACATGAAGACTAATTTTCAAACAGTCCTGTTCACTGATGAGCGCCGTGCAACCCTGGATGGTCCAGATGGATGGAGTAGTGGATGGTTGGTGGACAGCCACCCTGTTCCAACAAGGCTGTGACGTCAGCAAGGCGGTGGAGGAGTCATGTTTTGGGCCAGAATCATGGGAACAGAGCTGGTCGGCCCCTTTAGGGTCCCCGAAGGCGTAAAGTTGACCTCTGCAAAGTATGTGGAGTTTATGACTGACCACTTTCTTCCCTGGTACAGAAGGATGAACTATGCTTTCCGTAATAAAATCATCTTCATGCATGACAATGCACCATCTCATGCTGCAAATAATACCTCTGCATCAATGGCTGCTATGGGGATAAAAGGAGAGAAAGTCATGGTGTGGCCTCCATCCTCCCCTGACCTCAATCCTATTGAGAACCTTTGGAGCATCCTCAAGCAAAAGATCTATGAGGGTGGGAGGCAGTTTACATCCAAACAGCAGCTCTGGGAGGCTATTCTGACATCTGGCAAACAAATTCAAGCAGAAACTGTCCAAAAACTCACAAGTTCAATGGATGCAAGCCTTGTGAAGCTGCTATCAAATAAGGGGTCCTATGTTACAATGTAACGTGACCTGTTAAAATGTTTAAAAAGTTAAAATGTTGTTAAAAGTTCGATTAAAATAGCTTTGATTTCAGTAAATACGCTGCAAACACAACAAATGACAATTTTCAGTTCTTTACAACCTATAAAGTGTTTTGAAACTTACCGTGCATAATAATTTGGAACAGTGCATTGT